GGGCGCCCCGCGGGGCCGAGGGGACGGCCGGGCCTCGCCCGGTGCCAGCGCACCGATTCTGGGCTGCCGTGGGCCTCGCTGAGGTGGTGCCTTCAGCCGCCCTCCCGGCAGCCCCCAGCTCCCGCTCCCTGCCGAGGCCTCCTGACAGCTCTTCTGCCTTTTTTGCAGAGGTTTTTCCAGGCCACGATCATGAGTGATCAAATCCAGTTCATTGTTGAGAAGCTCAATCAGGAGCCCTTCAGGAAGAACTACAATTTAATCACGTTTGACTCCTTAGAGTCAACGCAGCTGTTGCAGCTGCTCAATGATGTTCTGGGGGAGATTGACCCAAAGGTAAGAAAGGCAATCAGAGGTGCTCAGACCTGTGTAATTGTGAACCTTTTAAATGGGCTTGACACAGAAACTTGCTTTTATTTAGGTCTGGCTCTGGATGATCTTGTGGCATGTTTCGTTTACCAAAATAACTTATATGAATCTTCCTGGAAATAAATGTGCCTGGCAAGGATTCTTTCTGTCTATACATCTATGTGTTTTTGGCAAACCAGCAAATGTTTCTTGGGCCAGGGATACTGGATCCCTGTCCTCTACAGACTGATGACTGTATATTTTTCCTTGGGATATGTATCTTAACTTGATTCATACTGACAACTCCTGTGTTCTTAAGTCAAAAGTCAGGCTGTGTCTTGCACACATACACAAGACAGGAATTGATAAAGAACTGAACCTCATGACTTAGCTGTTGCAATAGATATTGGATCCCTCTCCTTTGAGGCTACCAAAAATGCGTGTGAGATCAGGAGGGATCGCTCATACACCTGGGGCACCAATACGTGTGCATTGGTGTGCTTGGATATCTGACTTCCTTGGTGGAAGTAATTGGTTTACCAGCATAGATGAGGTCCCAAGAGCAGAGAAAATTTATACCTAGGATAAATTTACCTGAATACAGATGTTGGAGAAAAATCCAGTAGAAGAGAATTGAAGTTTGGTGATAAAAAGTATGTTCTGTGTGGAACATCTTACTTCATCGACATAATGTGATAAATGGATAAAGTAAATTCTTTTAGTGTTGCTAGTTAATGAACATGACTTGGACAGACAGTGGATAATTAATTTTTTTTTTTAAACTATCTAGCATGCTGTTGACATTAGAGAGGAGCTGCCGGAACAAACAGCTAAAAGAATGTTGAGTCTCCTTGGTATCCTTAAATACAAACCTCCAGGAAGTATATCAGACTTGTAAGTATCTTTTTGTCTACAAATCATGGTAAAAACATCTTTTACAGCTTATACGGTAAGGACCTCTAATTCAGTAGGTGTGTATTTTTGACCTCGACTGCCCAAGTGGGTACGCATAAAGCCTTGAAGGCAGCTCCTTCCTTGTCCCTATAGAAGATGGTGTAGGCGACGCCAGCAGAAGGCTCCTGCAGGTGTAGGCTGCCCCTCGGGCCCTGCTGCAGAGCTGCTATTGCGGAGTCAGCCAGGAGAGGGTGCCGCATGACTGGCAGGGTCAGTCCCTTCCCGATCCCTTTCAGACCAGCCGCCCGAGGCTGGATTCCACCTTCCTGTGCCAGGTTATAACTCAGAAAACCCACGCTCTTCCCACGTTGCCTTTATTCCCGAAGAATATCGCAGAAAAGGATGAGTTGTTGTTGCTGGCTTTAGCCTTTTGATGTGTTACGGGGTTTTTATCTATCTCGAGGTAGCAGAATTGGGATCTTAAATAGCAAACTGGCATCATGAGAGTTTTCTGTTTTAACAGCATTAAGAAAATCATTAGGCAAGCGGAGAGAGAATGCCAAAATACTGCAAATTGTTTGCTTCAAGCCAGTGTTCCTTAGTTTGAGATTTATTGGTATTTTGTTTTTGTTGTTTTCATATAGGAGTACATTTCGCCAAGGGTTAGTTACTGGAAGCAAACCTGTAATTCATCCTGTCTTACATTGGCTTCTTCAGAGGACCAATGAACTCAAGAAAAGAGCTTACCTGGCACGTTTCTTAGTAAAATTGGAAGTGCCAGCGGAGTTCCTACAGGATGATACTGTGGCTGACATCAACAAACAGGTACCATTTTTCATGAATGCCAACATTTTATGTTAATTAATTAAAGTCCCAATAGGAGGAGGGATAAATGAATCTGAGAGTTACTGTTGAGATATGTGTTCAAATGAGTTATGTTAAAAGCATGTTGGAATCAAGGGTGAACAAAGATTCGTAGTAAGAAATATGTCTTGACCACCTTTCTTCTGATAACCCTGACATTGTATATTAATAGGTAGCATTGAATTAAAAGGTTTTAAGCCCATTAAGTACTCGTTACTAAATAATATTCAGAGCCATGTTGACCATGACAGATTTTTATTTCTTAATTTTTAAACACCTTTTCTTTTCACCTGTGAACTACAACATGGATATTTTAAATTTTATACATTACCACTTCAAAGTAGTCCAGAAAATGTTACGACCAAAAGCCAATGTCTCCTAATTGTCAATTGATTGTGTAGTATTTATCTCCTAATATTTATATTAGCCTTATCCGAATTCTGCTTCAACTTCTGCTTCATTTTTTTTGTGAATAAGTAAAAAATTTCTTTTTCCGGGGCTGAGATTCCTACTCATTATGTTCCCACTTCTTTTGTGAGCATTAAATGTTGATTTTAGATAGTCAGAGTGGGTGGATTTGAAATGTAAAGCTTAAAGTGAACCAAAGTTATGTTTTTAGATCTTTATTATCTGAGGTACATATTTACCTAATTTTTATCCAGTTATCTGTGCCTTTTGTTATGTATAGTGACTTGCAAAATCACAGTGGTTTTGAATGTTTGTAACAGGTAACTCCATTTATTAACTGTGCACCAGCAAAGCTGTATAGTCTGACTGACGCTTGGCTAAGCCTTTTATTTTTTTTGTTACCAATAACAATATTGGATTTATAACTTGGAATAACTAAGCAGAAGTAAGAAAGAAAGAAAGGAATGTAGATTGTATGTTTTTTCAGTATGTCACAGTCTTAATATGTATAAATATCCAGCTCCATTATTTCCATTACGTAAGATGTGTTCCTTTTTGGGATTACAGTAATATAACGGTCTTATTAAGCTTATTAAATACCCTGCTGATTAATTCAAAACAGAAGCTGGGGTAATATAGTGCCTTAACGTAGTTTAATATTACCATGCAAATATTTAGATACTAATGAATTAAAGAATTTAGCCTAAAGTGTTTAGATAGACAGGCTTGCAATAGTGTATTTTAAGAGAAACGTTTCAAACATGAGAGTTTGGAAATCTTAGAACATGGTCAGGTTTTATGGTGTACAGAATGAAATTCAAATGTACTTTTGTAAATTATGAAAAAAGGTACTCAGAGTACTTGCCTTAAGCAAGTACTTACTTAAGAAAGCAAGTTAAGGCATAAATCTTGTTGTCCAGTTTTCAGTGAGTTGCCCCCAAGTGCCAGGAATCTTTCTTTCCGCTACAGAAGCCTGGGTGTTCTTTGGTCATTTGAGTGTGTCACTTATTTTGGGTGCACATGGGGTAGCTGCAGCTTTTATTCAGTGAAAGTGAGAAACCTTCCCTTCGTTATGATCTGGCAAACCGTGTTATGCCCTTGTTTGAATCTTGTCATTAGTCTTGAAATGTTGTGTCCCAATAAGGAAAAGAGTAACTAAACTCCCCTTTTGAAAGAGGTAGGGAATCCACACAAAGGAGAGCTGTTGGACATCACCAATTGTGAATACAGTTGCTCGGAGACTACCTGCTCTTTCATTATTTGTTAAAGTACTTAACTTCTGTAATGCATAAGTGATACAATGCAGGCCAGTTGTGTTTTTACTCCTACTTTTTTTTTTAATTTGTTCTGTGTTGTCCAGCATGTGCATCCCTTATCATACCTTTATTTGTCATTTAATCAAGCTTTTTCTGTTTTATATTTGTCTCAGTAGACATTTTATTGCTATTTTTTTGAATTCATTCCAGCTTGTCAGCTGGAATGAATTCAAAAAATGTCATATCCAGCTTGATACTGAAAAAAGCAGAAATGAACAGAGCATTCCAGACACTGGTTCCCCAAGGTTTTATAGAATAGAATTGCTGCTTCGCTGCTCAGGGATATGATGCTTTTGTTTGAACTGGCCTTTGCTGTGGCCATTTTGTGCTCCACATTCATATCATTTGCTCTTTCCAGGAAGTAAAAAATGACTTGATATTCTCTTTTTAGATTTTTCCATCGTATTGAATGGCTGTTTCTGTGGAGATTATCTTTCGTTTTATCTCAGCTTGCATTTCTCCAAGTTGAATCTAAATTTATTTCCTATCCATATTTCTAAACTCTTTCTGTCCCCTGTTATTTCTCTACCCACACAGACTTTCACACTGCCTCTCAGTTTAAGATTACTGGTGGGCAATGTACTGGTGTGGAAGTAGCACACTGTCTACTTCTTTCTAACTACCGAACTACATATATCAATCTCTATATTATACTGAGGGCATGATTACGCAATGTTTCAAAACTATTTCTCACATGTTAAGTCAGGTGTGCTCTTGGACCGCTTTGCTGGATAGAAGCTCAGTGCTCTGGAAATTCAAGCCCCATTGCTTTGATCAAGCGTGTTGTTAGATCAAGCTCTTCCTTTTTGGGCTGATAAATTTATGTATGCGAAATATACAGATTTATAGTAAGAGAGAATAATTTGTTAATATAGCATTGTTCCTTTCAGATAACATCTTATCTTCCTGTTTTGAAAATACAGTATGTATTACAAGAGAAGAGGTGAAAATACGAAAGAAATTGTGAAACTTCTGAGTGTACCTTCAAATGGAAGACAATTCACTGTGATTTTTTTTTTTTTATTTTTCTTTAAGTTGACAGGCTTTTGTGATGAAAAAATGCCTTTAATTCTTGTTCTCACTGTATTTCTATATTTACTGTCTTAGTAGTAAAGCAACATGTTGATTGAAAATCCTTCGACACAGAGCTCATTCTGTGTGGTTTTGATTTCGTTTTATAGTATGAAGAACTGATGGAAGCATTTAAAAACCTACATAAGGAGTGCGAGCAGCTCAAAACATCTGGTTTATCTACTGCAGAAATAAGAAGGGTAAAAAAATCTGACAAAATTGCACAAGTTTTGTTTAGTTTTTTTTTTAATTTCCGTTCTATTTTTGTTGGTTTTGTGGACTCATTGCAGTGTATAAGTTGTAGAGGTCAGAGCTGATAGACACACAGCTGCCTTTTTGAAACTGTTCTCTGTTGGCAAACAGATTAGAAAGTCCTCACTTGTGCTTAGAACTGAGCTTTCTGAGGCAGATTGGGAAACAAGGCTGCCAAGATTCTGTTCAGCGTGATTTTCAAATACTAAACCTCCTCTTCCTGTGAATGCAAACTGATACAAAGCCTTTTGCTTTACTGAGGTAGGGTAATAATTTAGAGGATGTTGTATGAATTAAGATCTTAAGTCAACAAAAATTCGATCCTGTGTGGCCAAGTTATTAAGTAAAGATATTTGCCCTGTTTCAGAAAAATATTTAAGTGTGTGTACAGCTTTCCAAGTAAGACATATAGACAAGTTAAGCAAATGTTGAGAGAAGGTCTAAATTTGAAGAATTTATTTCCCTTTCTCTCATAACTATCAATCTCTGCTGGTTTAAGATAGGATTAAAGGAGAACAGTAATCGGATACGTGGTTTAGCACTAGAAAGTGTTTCTTTTAAGACAGTTGTAATAGAAAAAGTGGCAGCAAGCATCACTTACATGCAACTTTGTGCAAAATTTTCTGCAATGAAGTAGCATTAAGAACATATGTTTGACTGCGTCAGATGTTGAATTCATGCTTATTTTTTCTTGGTTATTTCTGTTTGTTTTTATTTTAGAGAAATCCACCTGCTTTTATTTTAAATGTTCACACTAATACTCAAGGTTGCAGATGAAGGAATGTTAGCATAAAGAGAGTGGGAACTGTGGGGGAAGTAAGAGAGAAGAGAGAGATTGGAATCCTGGGTGTTCTGATCACAGATCAATAAAATTATAACCGCTTCAGTGTATTTGGAGAATTCTGATTTTCGTATTAATTTGAACAGAATTTAGTCCAATCCATATTATATTGTAAATAAATGAACATTTCTTTATCTGTTTTTTCTGCTTTTTAGGACATCAGTGCAATGGAAGAGGAGAAAGATCAACTCGTCAAAAGAGTAGAGCGTCTTAAGAAGAGGGTAATAAGAGAAGTAACGCTGTTACATTTCAGTGTCATAATCCTTGGCTTGCAACTCTGATTTTGGAATGCAAACAAGGATTAAGATAAACATACTGTACGTCTAGGAAGGAATCGAGTAACTAATTGACCTACAGGGAATCTCCCTAGGCGTTAGTCCAGAGCTTTTAAGAATCTTGAGTCCAGTACTTTGCTGTCATTTCTGAGTAGTAACATGTATGGAAAGGAAGTGCTAAGTGGGCTTGTGAGACATATGATCTCTTTAATGTATTTCTCAACTATCTGACAGTAACATGCACTATTTATCCACTTGCTGTAGGTGGAGACAGTACAAAATCATCAACGAATGCTTGAAATAGCAAGACAGCTTCGCTTAGAAAAAGAGCGAGAAGAATCTTTGGCTCAACAGAAACAAGAACAAAAAAATCAGGTACTGACATAGAAGCATATCTATTAAAATAATAGCTGTTGACATTTGTTTGGGAACCATGCATTTTAAAAAGTACATCAGGAACAACAGCACAGAGTTTCAACATCAGAAAATTAAATCCCATTTAAAATATGAATATCTATGTACGTTTTAAGGGAAGTGGCTTGACCCTGCGAGTTTTGAACACCTCATTCAAAGTACTTGGCTGCCTCAGCTGCCACTGACATCATAATTTAGCAGTCCCAGGAAATGTTCCATGACTTACTCTTGTAGCACTCAAAGAGAATTCTTTATATTTATGGTGGTGAGCAAAGGTTTCTTTAGTTTGATTTGTATCTCTGTGCATCAGCACTAAGATTTCAGGGGCTGAGTAACACAGCAAGTACCTCAGCTTTTCACTGGGTGGGGGAAATATGTATTCAGAAGCAACCTTGGGATTTTTGTCCCCGAGTTTGACAAAGATGATGTCCTAGGAAGCACTGGAAGCAGTTGACATCTGAATATAAGGGTTGGTTTTATTCCTGAGCTATGTTGTCAAAACAAGATACTTTAATAAAATTCAGTTCCATATTGTTATATCATCTCGCCAAATTCTGTAATGTGAGCTTCAACACTGTATTAAAAGGAGAAAAAAGCCCAGATTTCTAGTATTGCAGTCTGTGTCTGCATGTGGAATCAATGTAATCAGTAGGCTTTCAAGCTGTTGGGTCTTTGCATGAACCTGAGTGAGATCACAAGTAAAATGAATGCGATGGCCAGCTAATTTCAGTTCTTAGTACACATCCCTCTAAATCACAAAAATGCTGATCAGCTGGGTGTTATTTGGCAACAGGCTTTCCCGTGTGCTCTCAACTTGGACAGTGGATTGCTGTGACAGCTCAGCTGTACTGAAGAACTGCAGTATAAGGATAGTTACCCGCTGCAGTCCTGATTCTTGCTGTCTTTTTTTGTGTTGTTGTTGTAATGTTCAAGCCACTTGTATTTTTGGTTGCAAGTTGTTTAATGAATTTCTGCCATAGAGAAAATACTGCTCGGGAGTACAAGAATACTTTCCTTAATTAACACAAGAGAATATCAAGTAAATGCAGGCCAATTGATGAAAATTTGTTTTGGCATGTTCCCTTGTGAAACAGATAATCACCAGATACTTCTAGCTACCATTTTTTGTATTTGGGATTCTTTTTGATACTCTTTTGTTTTAGTTGTTTGAATATGCATTTCAAAGGAAGGAGCTTATATGTGTGCATTTCTCTCTCAAAAGTTGTTCCATGCAGAGCAGAGACTGCAAAGAGCACAGCTCCAGCTGAAAGAGATGCATCATGCAGTAGTGGATTCAAAACCTGAAAGTAAGTAGTAATCTATAAAGGCTGGGGGTTTACATGTCTCTGTTAGAAATGAAATCAAACCCCGATGGCTGTCAGTAATATGGTGGTGCCAAAAAGCATATAGGATCTTTAGAGAATCTAAAGAAAGAAATAACTTGTGTTTTAAAGGCACATGCTGGAGATCCTAAGCTTGAATATATATTCCTTGCCACAAAAAGCCAGGGAGACCCATCACAAGGGACGATATCAGTCATATTTTTGAGGTCCGCTTTTTTAAAATCTTAAAACAGTTAAATACTGAATACTAACCATAATACTCTGCAAGAAGTAAACAGGTGAAACTACAAAGGGTTGGAAAAAGCAGAAACCTCTTAGAAAGACAAACTTCTGATTTAATAAGATTTTGTCTTTTCTGTTTGTAATTGGGCCTTGGTGGAATACTGCTTCGTAAAAATTTTCTCAATGAATGTACAAATACATTGAATATTATGTTTTATTCAGTGTAGACTTTTTTTCCTAGTTACCTTCTATGAAATATCTGTTTGAAATGCTTTAAGGCCTGTTTCTTATAGTAGTGCAATTTTGTGTTGTAGTTTTGTATGGTACCAAAAATAAAGCTACTTCGTAATTAAGCTTTTTTAATAGATCATGGATTATATATACACACACACTCTTATACATTATTATGCATATAAGTATATAATATATATACTAGATATAGCTATATAATAAAACCTGTATGTTTATATATTAATATATTTGTTTACATTTGAAAATACTTTGTTTTCATGATACGACTGTAGCTGATTGGGTTGTATGTTGCTGTATTACATTAATAATAGCAAGATTGCTTCTCCTTGTTTTCAGTGATATATCAGTCTGCAAATAACCTCATCAAAATAAATTATATTGCTTGTGGAGTAAGTTAGTAGTCTATGATCATTTATAAAAGTAGCAGGTGGGAAGGGATTGTGGTTACTAGATAAATGCATAACTGTCTCCAAAGGCTACATTTTTACAACCTCTAGGTTTCTGATGATTTAATCACTTTGAAGGAAGCATAACAAGGATTAGCCTGGCGGTTTGACAGCAAAACTGGGAGTCGATTTAGAGTTCGGTGTTTCAGATGTATGTGATCTTTGGCAAATCGCTTAACCCCTTTCAGTTTGTCTCTTGCACTTCCTCAATCACAGGATTGATAGAGGTTTTATGTGCTGCGCATACAGGCATTGGGGTTGATTTATAGGGAAATACTTTAATGTATGTAAAGTAGTGTGAAGGTGTAAGACTCAGAATGGTCCTTTTCACAGGGCTTACCCAGTTGCGTTGTGAGTTACTATGGTAAAAAAATGCCATAGAATGATTTTTGTTATATGTATAAATTACTCGCAAAATGATACAATCTATTTATCAATTTAAACTTATTAAGATAAGTCACTGTCCTACTCGTTCAAGTCAATTTAATATTCCAGTTGCATCGCATAACTGCTTTGGTGGCTGTTTTGAGTTAGAGAATTTTTTTCAGTCACTGCCACGTTGTGTTGTTATTGCTTTGTAATTTTACTTTAATTTTTTTACGATGCTCATCAGCCACTAAACCACAAATGGAATTGAAAGAGTATTTGAACTATCTTCTTTACTCAAAGGGACCTGCAGTGGATTTTATAACTGTTCCATTTTTGCAGTAGCTATCAGGGAGTTTATACAGCAAAGCTGTGTCAACATTTCTATTTCAGTTCCTGGGGTTTTTTTAAGGCCAATGGAAACTTGATGGGCTCAGTTCACATAAGCAAAGGTAACATAATAAAAAGCCAGTAAATATGTCATTTAATCAGTGAGATGAAAATAAAGATAAAGTTAACATATTTAATTTCCTTATCTTGAGTCCTGCTTACAGGAAAAAAAAAATGTGTTTAGATGTTCTGAAGAAAAACTTGGAGTCATTACTTAAGAAAACTTGTGTTGAAATTTTGCCCAAACAAAGACTTCAGGACTTAGCTTTGTAATTGCTTTTCCCCATAGTAGTTACAAAGACACGGCCTGTAGTAGCAATTACAGAATGTCAGCTGTGTTTTTTAAATAATTAGGTGACCACAGTGCACCGAATAGGATTCCATTTATTTTAAAAGCTTTGTTGGTCTACAGTTAGCACAATTTATTTTATTTTAAAAATCCCCTTTGGCTGCAGTTTGGTACCTCAGCTGCCTACTGGTATCAGCGTAACTTGTATGCTGACAATTCAACGGCTGGGTGGTAGGTGTGGGTTTTCACTGGAAGGTAGATATTTTCCTTTAAAATATTTTTTTTTCCATTTTTAATTCTTCATGTGTTTTCACTTCCAAAGCAAGAGAAAATGATAAAAGTTGTTAATGAGTTGAAGCTTTTTTGTTTGTCTTACAGATGCAGGCTGCTTTGATTACTTCATCTTATATTTAGGATGAAGTACTTTAAAGAAATGTAGAGGAACTCTTTAAGGAATGCAACTAGCACATATTCATGAGTATCATTAACATGTAATTAGCATCAGTCTGCTTCAGCTGTGCCAGGAAAATACCGCTTATGGTTAGTAGGATTTTAACTCTTAGAAATATAACATTTAGAAGACTTTGTATCACGAAAAGCAGTTGATTGTTATGAGATGTTTTGTAGACTGAAATTGATCATTCTGGTTTCCACAGTACATGCCTTCCCTGTTTATTAACTTCAGTACTACTCAGTATGTTGTTTCACTACAGAGAGGCAGTTGCTGCTGGTATTGAATTTGCAATTTCTGGGTTTTTTTTTTTTGTGGTGGTGTTGCTGTTGTTCCAGATATGAATAGTATTTTTATTTACACTGACCACTGGTTTGGATAACCTAGCTCATGCTTTCTCAGCAAGATTGCCATCTTTTTGATTTGAGTCTCTCTGCTGGCACAAACACAAATTGTTAACGCCAAGAAACCAACTGAATTACTGAAATTCTTGATCTCTGTCCATTTTACAGAACATTATTGTTCACTTTATTGGCAGAAATATGAAGAAGTGGATGACTAGCTTGAAAATATTGATTAAAAGAATGTGTTAAGATGATTGTTGTTGATAAACAGTGAAATGTGTAATTTATATACTTCATTAAGTTTATATGTAGTAATAGATGTAGAACACCGAGAATTTCAAAGATACTGATCAAAGAGGAATTGCTTTATGCAGTTGTCTATTTTTATGTCATTCTGAACACTTGATAAAAAATAGAAATTTAGGATGCTATTATTTAAATATTCCATTTGAATGAAAACATTAACATTTTTCTTTTCCACAGAACTATCTTCCCCTAAAATTCCAAGTTTAAATTATCTCCACCAACACTGCAGACCACATTACAATTAAATTTATAGATGTATTTGGTAAAGGAGAATGGTTTAGGTGGAACTTTATTTCCATCTTTAAATTATGTGATTTATTATAAAGTCACTGTCAATTGATGCAAGGTCAGGGTAAAGCACTTTTAAGCTAACTTGATGTCTTTGAGAATACGAGTCTGGTTGGTAAGATTAATAGTATTGCCATGATTGACTTTTTTAAGACCGTTGACTCTTAACTTGCACCCTATTTTGAAGAACAAACAAGGCAGCAAAAATTCAACATGACCTATGTTAAAAGGATTGGAAGGAGTTTACTGAACATTTTAGAAAGGAAATTAGTCAGGGAATCATCACCTGAGTGGATGTGTTTCTGATTGGGACATGCAGAAACCAATGTCTGGCTTTTTTTTGTTTAGTATGTACATGAGATACCTGAAAGAAAATAGCAAATGATTACTGGTGAAATTGTCAGATGAAATAAAAATTGGGGAAATGATTGAATAATGAGGAGTGCAGACTGTTGATTCAAAGTGACCCTAATCACTTAGAAAGCCGAGCCCATGCTAACAGTATCTGTTTTAAGGAACAGCCAAATGCCACAGTATTCTTCTGGGAATAATGTACATGCAATGTAGTTATAACACGTGGGACTCTTTCCTAAGAAGTGACTCTGAAAAGGACTTGTGGATCATGGTGTAAAAATGGTAGAACTGGAGCTCCCAGTATCAAAGACTTGATGCTATCCATGCATTTATTTATGGAAGAAAACGGAATGGGAGAGTTACATTACCTCTCTTTTAGCTCTGATATGTCCATCACTGCAACGCTGTGTCCTTTGACCAGAAATCAAGAAGAATGTTGGAAGGTCAGAGAGATTTCAAAGTGCATCGATAATTATAAACATGGAAAGCATGACTTACAATGGCAAGTTCAGGAAGCTTTTTAGATTTTCAGGGAGATATCGAAGGGATGATTTGATCATAATTGGTCAGTTTGCATGTCCCAGGCCTATGTTTAATAGAGGGAATTGGGAGTGATGTCATTGGAAGGTATGGATGGAATAATTTCAGTACTCTGATATTGAGGATGATTGCAGAAGGGGAAGTGAAGGCTGTGATGTAGGTGGATGCTATGTGGAAGTCTGTTCTAGACCTGCCTTTGTTGTGGCCTTCCTATGTGATATTAAATGGTGTGTTGGCAGATAAGTCTATAAAATGAGTGCTCCACTTTCTTTTTATTTTTTTTCCCCCCTTTTTAAAAAAAAACCAAGCAAACCAGTTATTATTGCAAATGGTTTTGGTGTCGGATGCCCAATTGTTAGCCTGTAGAGGGAAAAGAAGCACGAATCTGAGTGCAGGGGGAATCAAGTTTTAGATCCATTAGCAAAATTATGCAGAGAAACTTGCCTCTTTCCTACATGACTGAGCAAGCACTAAGAAACTCTTTCTCCCATCCCTCCCTTTGTAATAATAATAATAAAAAAACTTGAGTGGAAAACATGAGGAGTTGCTGTTAATAGCTCTCCACATGTAAATACGTGGTTGGCAGAACCTTGCTAAAATAACCTTAGGGCACAGAGCCAGACTTTCTGTGCAGCTTACGTATGTAGATTTTGTAACCATAAGTCAGTGTTAAAACATTAAAAACAGAATTTATATGTGTAATGGAAAGATTTAAAGTATGCTTGCTTTTCCTTCCTCTAGCCTGGGAATTTGAAAAAATAATGTTTTTCACTGAAAAAGAAAATAAAACAAGAGCTACCCTCTGTTTTGGTTTTTAAGGTTCTGTTAAGCAGCAAAAGATAGTTCTTAGGTAGTTACTTCTCCATATGTTGAATTGTATAGGAGGAAAAATATATCCAAAGTATCTTAGGAAAGAAACTGCATTAGTCATGAGGGATGTTGACATCATCATGTCTTTCCCCATTGAGATGTTGCTTTAACTCTCTTAAGATCATGTTGGTTGCATGATCGAGAGTAAGCATCATGCAGAAACAGTTGGTGTTTAAAAGAAGTTGGTGATAGCTCTCAGGTTATCTGAGAAATAAATCTAGATAGTGATCACGGTTATAGCCTGTGAGGTCAGTAGGTCCACGCTCTTATGAAAGCAATTGTTTAGGCATGGTTATTTCCTGAATTTAGTGTCATATCTACAATAAATTGTTAAAGCATGTACATTTTTATTAGAAAACTGGAAATGCACAAGAAATAAAGTACAGGCTATACATGCAGAATTTTTTTGCTACTAAGAGGAAAACAAAAAATTAGTTTGATGACATAAAAATATTAATATTTAATATCAGAATAATTTAATTGATTTCCACACCAAAGATCTTGGTTATAAATATCAGATTAGGAGTTGTGTTCCTAGTCAGTTCTAAGGTGATAATTCAGCTCACGGTGTGCGTGGGAAGCTTTGCTGCATTTGCAGAGGCAGTAGATTTCTAGTGAGACAGTAAAATGTGGTCCCTCCTGCCCAGCTCTGTCGTGGGCTGAGGACGACTGGAATCGAGCTCTTCTGGAAGAAAGAAGTTGGAGTTCTCTCTCAGTAAGTCCAAGTGTATTTGGCAGGGTAGAGCTGTAGTGGCAGGTACGTAATGGCTATTGCATACATAGAGTAACTCGGCTTACCATTCTGCAACCAGTATTGATGCTGTTTGTTTGGCACAAGATAAATGACCTTTCCATGACGGTGAAAAGATCCTGTGGTAGCGTTGCTTTTCATGAACACAGAAATCAACAAACAAAACTGCTGGAAAAGAGGAATTCCCGCTCATTTTTAGTTTGTGTTGACTCCACTTTGTTAGCAACACCGCTTTCCCTGGCGTCTGTTTTCTTTCATCTAGTTCTAATGGTTTATTTCCTCTCTGGCAGCTAAACCATGTAGCTTTCCTTTCAGTCTAAGCTGGGAGCAGAAGGTGAGGAGGATCTATCAGTGCGGTGTTTCTTGAGGTAAATAGCAGCAGAATAACAGGGGCCCCGTTTCCTAGGCTTGTATTTCACTTTGTTCTGACCTTCTTTTGTCAGTCAGTGATGTGGTTGGCAGGCTTTTCAGCCTGAAAACCAAAACCTCTGCTTTCCGCTACATCCTTTTGCATTTCCGTTTCAGCAACATCAGCTGTACTGTTGTATCTCTGTACTCAACTTTCCTCTTCTTGTGCAGTATATGAAAAAGACTGAATTTCTTGTTTTTCTTGGCATTTCATGGCAATTCAGCGTTCTCCCAAATATGGAGAACCCTCCCCCCACCAAAAAAAAAGCGCCAACTCTAGCAAGTAGTTTTAAAAAATACCTAGGATACTTGCCTTTTAGTCATCTAGATCATGAAAAATATTCTGAAATACCTATTCCCACTCTCATCTGACATATAGCTTCCCAGTCTTACTGTAGTCCTTGGCACAGGTGTCTCGGAGGAGTAATTGCACTAAACTGCCTGTTGTCAGCAGAAGACTGTATAATGTAATTTAAATAGATGCTTTATTTTATTCTGTCGCATTTTTGTAGCTGTTCATTGTTCTTATGTGTATGTACCTGTGTTTATTTATAAATTACCTGTTAAGGAGGCTAAATTACTCTCCCTAGCAAGAGCCAAGTCATCATAAGCATGGTAACATGCAGTGTGCATCAGGCTTCTGTAGAGCTTTTCTCAACAGAATTTTTGACATTACTCAGGAATTCCTTCTTGGGTTTTTTTTCTGTTTTATTATTATTTTCAGCATTCTCAGTCTATATACTGTTCTGATATTAAAAGCTTGTTCTTACAAGAAAAAAAAATGGTGTGCTGTTTACAGGGAGACAGTTTATAGGCATTCCAGCAATGTAAAAGACCCTTAAAGTAGGCATACATTCAATTCTGCTCATTTTAAGGCCTTTTTAGGTGCCAGACTGGAATAAAGTTTTATTTTAAGGGGGAATTTCCAAGGATATAACAAGTCTATACATAAGCTAGGCCAAATTAAGATCTTTGTACAGATAAAGGATTCACCCTGAGCTAATTTCCGTCTGTAGATGAAGTAATTCATACAAAACAATGACCTATGCAATCTGTGAGTAGGACCAAGTTCAGGACGCTTGCTCCACTGTTCCAGCCAGGGAAGTTCCAAGCTTCGAAAAAGCTCTGACATGCTTTGCTGCCCCTCGCCTGGCGTGCGCATCAGCACCAAAATCTAGCCCTCAACTTTTAAAACTTAAAAAGAATGTAATTCACAATGGTAACAACACAAAGTAACACAGAACCCAATATCTTGATGTGTGTGAGAGCCACATGGGGTTAATGGCATTCTAGATCAATGCTGCGTGTTGAATTTTGCACCTGATTCAGCTAGAGTTTCATGTAAGAAGGGGTTTACTTGTTTATTGATGAAAAGAATCTGTCAAGGAATTAAAAGAGATACAGGTGGATAACAACACATTTTATATTATTATATATAATATATTATATTATAATAGTAATATATTATTATTATCCATATTAAAAATCTAAATCAAGTAACTACCTGTTTCTTTGAGCATCGAAGACACAAATGTTACGCTGTTGTTACTGTAATCTGCTACTAAATACTTTAATGTGTTGGTGAAATGAAACAATAATCTGCTACATTACAGTTATAGACACACTTGTTTAATTTATTTTTAAGGTTTAATGAAGAAACTAGAAGAAGAGATAAATTTCAATTCATACATGGTTACTGAAAAATTACCTAGAGAGCTTGAAAGTAAGAAGAACTCAGCATATTTCTTACAAAAGGTGGTTGCAGAGCCAGCTATGAGTCAATCTGATCTCAATGTACTTGAAATCAAGGTAAGCTGACCAAGGTCACGCTTAATTTGTGTTCCGTAGCATAGTGTAAGGTTCTTGTACACTGTAGTTTTCTTATCTCTACTTTATATCCTTACAAAAATGTTTCATTCCCAAAGGAACATCTCTTCAGTTATAAAACAAAAGAAGATGTGTTAATCACTTAATGCAAACCCTCAGAGAAGTTTAAAGAAAGCCAACACAAAACAAACAAAAAAACCCCAAACCCAACCCCAAACCCGGTGCTATCCTTAAATACTATTTATAAAATTGTGTTAGCAATTTGCTCCGGTGTGAACAGAGAAGCTGATTTAGCATTAAAGGTTTAATTTTTCTTCTGTTTAGTTTTCACTTGTTTTAAACTCTGACATCAATGGAGTTTATACCAACATATAGAGAGTGTTTATGGAGTGGTGAACAACATCCTCCGAGTGACATATGTTCAGTAGTATTATGTATCAATCCATGTGCAATGGCTGAGAACTCCTTTGTGTTTGGAATAGGTCTGTTTCGTTTGGTCTGTATCGTTTGTTTTAGTTGGTAAGACCAAAGAAATTTTGGGGATCAAATACTTCATTTACCTTTCCAGATTTTACCAGAAGTTAAAAGGAAGTGGTGTTAGAATGAGCAAAAGTCCTTATTTGTAATATATATCCAAAATGTGCAGAGGGATTTGTTGCCACAGAAGTACATTTATATATTTCAATCAATTAAGTTTTCATATTTGCATAATACTAGCTAAAAGATTAAATATGTAATGTTATGTTCTAGAAGACTTTAGCAGAATGCTAATTATTAGTATTTCTATTGATGATGATGAAAATGTACTGCAGTGTTAGCTAGGGTAGGAAGACTAGTCCAACATACTACTAGGGACACTCTTCAGTCTAAATGTCTTTTTCTGTTATCAGTTGGTTTTTTGTATTCCCAGGATCTCCAACTCTGGCTTTGCTGTGAAAGATAGGTAATGAGGAAACAGAGTATTTGTCATAGATCAGAGAATGGTTTTACCATGAGGGTTGCCATCTTGTGTCTTGAAGCAGCGAGAGGTTCACCAGCCACATCAACATCGTAGTAGCCTGTGCATTCACACATAGAACATGCCGAAGTAATGTAATAAAGAACTGCCCACAGTTTTTTTGGATCAGACGAGAATCAGCAGTCAAGTGTCATCAAGAATACATTCTATATTAAGGTTAGGACTACTTTTTGTAAATGTAAAATCAGTGACAGCCCAATGCCATTTTGGATCCTGATTGTTGTACTTTTAAGGATGACAGCATTATTAAATGGTAGATTAGGTAGGTCTGAAATATTAAACTAGCTCTGTCATTCAGCCTCTGCTTTCCTAGTTTATTTCTTCCAATCAAAGCAATATTTGTGGTTGCAGGTATTTCCTTTAGGCATAGTTGAAGCCCTGTTTTGCACCTTTCTTCTCCAAGAGTATTGTTGGGTTTTTAGCAATATTTTAAAAAGCTTCAGGTTGTTTTTTTTTCCCCATGAGGTAACATTTTCATTTGTTATATTTTGGAAGTATGTTCTTCTTAATAGATAATAAATATATGTCATATACTTGGCTGTTACCACAGCACAGCCTTAGACACCATTTTTTTTTTTTAAAGTCAGCCTTCTATTATCTCAATGTCTTAAAAAGGAGCTGAATTGCACCAAGCATGCTACTATCATGCATTTTATTAGATACAAACCAGGAATTTATTCACAGAGGTGAATAAACGCTGTCTTCAAATTCAGGCCTGTTCTAGCTTTTGTAAAGGAATAGAATTTACAGGAGATTTTGCTTACAAGTATCTAAAGGGTGGGTTGAAGGAGGATGGAGCCAGACTCTTTTCAGTGGTTCCCAGTGACAGGATGAGGGACAACGGGCACAAGTTGGAACACAGGAAGTTCCGTTCCCACACACGGAAAAGCTTCTTTACGGTTGGGGTGCCGGAGCGGTGGCACAGGCTGCCCAGGGAGGGTGTGGAGTCCCCTCCTCTGGAGATTTTCAAGACCCGCCTGGATGCAGTCCTGAGTGATGTGCTCCGGGCAGTCCTGCTTTGGCAGGGGAGTTGGGCTAGATGATCTCTAGAGGTCCCTTCCAACTCTGAAAATTCTGTGATTCTGTGATTATTTTTTTTCAGGTGTTGGAGTATTTTTAGTCCTGTTGAGTGCTTTGCTTGAAATACTTAGCTTTCAAGTACACAAATATTGCTCATAGAAATTTTAGACTAATGCCCAGCACTGTACCTGCGTTACATTTTTACTTCATTGGATTTCAGCACATATTTACACTGCTTGCTCATCAGCACTCATCTAGTTAGCAGAGAATTAAAGGAAGGTTGCTCGGGCTGTGGTTTCGATGGCTGATGAGAGTCCCAGTGTAGCATTAAGTCAGGACTGGAAAAGCTGCAGTCAGTACACTGGTGTAGCTGTTTATGAGTTTCCAGATGCAGTAGGCTCTAAAGCTTCAGCTGGAATGAGGATCGACAATTTGAGACTATGGACAAACAGGTGAATTTTGTGGCAATAGAAAGAAGGTACCATAGAGCTGGAGTATGATGGTCTGTGGCTCTTCAAAGTATTGATGAAATTTGCTATCACTTAGACTTTATTTGCTTCCCTGTAAACTGCAGATAAATGGTTGAGTGAAAAGGAATTTTAGTTAATATTGATCGGATTTTTCACATAGTATGTGTAAACATCACCCTTTTTCTGTCCGTAACAATTCACATGCGTTTTCTCTCCACATACACGAGTTTACTTCATTTTCAGGGCCAACGTCATGCTTCTGCCTTATCATAAAGGCACAGAACTGGAAATCCAAAAACATAGCCTCTTCCTGGCCAATACTTAATGACTCATTGAGTTTTTTGGGCTTGTTTCTCTGCTTTAAAAATGGAACTAGCTGGATTGTAAATCTGGTTTGCAAAGCATTTAATTCTTGGAGAAGACAAAGAAATAAAGCTCCATTTCCTTAGTTTTCTACTCTGTCTTGCAGATAAATGAAATAAATGCACAAATAAATCAGCTTATTGAGAAAAGAATGATGAAGTATGAGCCAATTGATAGTAAATTTTCCATGTATCGCCAACAGGTAAGGACAAAACATATTTTAAGCAGTAGTAGAGCAATTTCAGTCACTGATTGTTGTACATACTGATTTTTTTCTTTAATTTATTTAGCATAAATCAGTAGAAATACATAATAATGGAGGACAAAAAGAAAATAAATAGCTGTTGAACATATGTATGTTTAGGGCTGAGTGAAACAATTGCTTTCAGTCATGTTAATGAGTTGATATTGACTGCTGTCCTTAAACAGGTAGGTGTTGCCCTTCAGCTGTATCACAGTAATTCTGGAAGGATCATTTTGGAGGAGCTATTTTGGTAAAGCTCCAGCTGTGGACAGATTCTTAAAAGGCAGCATGTGGGCTGCCTGCTGCAGTCCGACCTGGATGCAAAGCTTGCTTTCAGTTATATCCATTGCTTGTGTTTGACCATGTGCTATTTTTTCCTGTTGGGTCTATTAAGCAGGTATTCTTTGATTTTTCATCCTGAGGCTATAAAATAGTCTTTCTAGAAAATAGGCTGTCTGGTCTAGTCTTAGTAAATTCACAAGTTATAAAAAGGATTTATGAACCCTGAGATTTTCAGAGCTTACGCAGAAATATGAGTGATTTCTTTTCCAGGCAACCTGTACCGCTGCTAATTTTATTACAGATTTTCATGATGATGCTTATGGTGACAGTTTAAAGAAATAAATGGTTTAAGTAAAATATATCAATGGGAGGAAAGAAATTGTGATAAAATGTATACCGCAGTTCAATCACATATGCGATATGAAACGCACCATTTTGTTTTGTAAGAGATGCTCTTCCCGAAAGAAAAGCTTGCTACATAATGTGCTGGTACCAAAGACCAACTGCCTTGTGATATGATTATGTTCAATGGAGGAACCCCTCCAGGAGTTTAGGTTGCTGCTGCGAGCTGAAAGCATGTGGTGGTCTTTGCTTTGTTCTGCTGGGGACTGGCTTCTGTTTCACAAAATAGTCATCTATATTGTACCACAATTTGTCACTGCAGATATCTCATGAAGCAAAGAGCTCAGATACTACCCCAGCAGCATTCGGTTAGATATGTTTTTAGAAATAAAGCTAGTCCGTTTAACCTAGTCAGCGCTTCATTTTTTCTTAAGTTTTCCCTTTCATATGAAGAAACCAACCATGCCTCCAAATTCATGCGCATGCATCTAAATTAATGTGGTATTTTAAAATATTTTTAAATAGTATACTTTGGCAAGATAAAAATGCCTTTTTTTTTTTTTTTCCCCACCTGAACTAATGTATACTTATGTTCCCAAACCTGTTAGCTTCTGGTCAAATGTTAGGTACTCTTAAATATTCTGCCTTGTATAAATTATTTTTTATTAAATGCTTTATCTTCTAGACTCAAAAAAAAAAAAAAGAATAATCTGTAATCTACACTATTTCTGTACTGTATTGCTTTATTCGTCATCCTTAGCTATTTGCCAAGATTTAGTGGCTTGGTTCTGCTGTTAGTATAACATATTTCTGTAGGTTGGAGTAGGTTGCAGTTATAAAAATCTGTATTATGACATTTGTGAAATCTTGGATAACTTTCCAGTTAAGCCATGTTGGTGTATCTTACATATGCACAAAAAGGGACTAAGTGGAAGAAATGGAGCAGCTAAAATGCCTACCTTTTTCTTCAATGAAAATGAAAAAATGAGGTGAAGAAATGTGAATCTACAATGTAAAATCCATCAACATGAATCTGGGAAAAAGGGGTATGTTTGAAATCTCAGCTGTACTGAAGGAATTTGGGAGTCTGCAATCAACTTCAGTGAAGTTGGGGTTTAACCCACTGTATATAATGTGTAATTGATGCTTTTTTCTTTGCAGTGAGACATGCTCACATTTCTTAATGAAAATCAGTTTCTGACAGTTACAATGTGGTTTCGGTGGTGCAATGCCCGAAATTTAATGGATTGCATTTTACTAATGATTAAACAAGGCAATTTTTACTTTTCCTGTCCATATGTGTTTTTAATGATCATGCAGGCATCTATAATTTCCCGGAAAAAGGAAGCCAAGGCCGAAGAACTTCAGGCTGCTAAGGAAGAGATGTCCAGCACTGAAAGGCAGATGCTACAGAAGACCAGTCAGGCCCATGAGTTAGAAGGCTCTGAAGTTCTGAAAGGGGATGAGGTATGCAATATAACAGTGGATATAAGGAAGAGGAAATTTGTAAGAGGTGCATCAATTTTTGTTAACTTGCAATTTCCTTTTAACTTTACATTGCAATAAACGCTTCTACAGTATCTTATCCATTTTTATAGTATGTCGTCAAACTACACGGCCTCAGCATTGCAACAGATTGGCCTCTGTTTTTTAATGCACGTTTTTTGTCATCAAATTCCAAAATTAACATATTTGAAGACTTTATTTTGTTTAATTTGCAGATAGTACAAAGCTGTCCAGTGCTTTCAAGTGCTTTCCAATATTGATACTGTACCAGTGCTTGATTTGTATCATAGAATCATAGAATGGGTTGGGTTGGAAGGAACCTTAAAGGTCATCCAGTCCCACCCCCCTGCCCTGGGCAGGGACACCTCCCACCAGCCCAGGTTGCTCCAAGCCCCGTCCAACCTGGCCTTGAACACCTCCAGGGATGGGGCAGCCACAGCTTCTCTGGGCAACCTGAGCCAGGGGCTCACCACCCTCACAGGAAAGAATTTCTTCCTGAAATCTAAATCTAATCTCAGTTTAAAACCGTTCCCCCTCATCCTATCAGTACACTCCCTGATAAACCTCCCCATCTTTCCTGTAGCCCCCGTACCAGTACTGGAAGGCTGCTCTAAGGTCTCCCCGGAGCCTTCTCTTCTCCAGGCTATTTGTAGCTATTTTCAAATTATAAATTTCAGTTTTTCACATTGTACCTAATAGATTGCAAGGTATATTAGGACTTAATGTTGGGCTGTCTTAACATTCCAGACTCTGAGTCAAAAGAATGTCAATATCGTCACAGTGGTATGATGGTAAATAACTATAAAAGTCAACAAGACTAATGAAAGGATTCAGTGTTCAAGTGATAAGTCAAGCAGATTAATTTTGTTAGTTGATGTATAATAAAAACCTGCGTTACTATCTGTTCTGTATATGATAGATGATCATAAAACATAATACCAGCAATTATCAGAAATGCAGTTAGTCCTGTTGTATTTATTACCCACAAGGGTTTTTACTTGAAAAGAATTGTCCCGGACCCTCCTGAAGTTTACCTGCAATACAAGCTTTGACTAGCACAATCACCGTAGCTCAGGCAAAGTTATATTCGAAGCTGTAGCTATCAAAGCATTTTCTTCTTTGAAAGTTTGCAAAGAATAAGGCTGCTGCAGCTGGGTAGTGTTTTGTTAGAAAAATGAATTGACTTTTCTTAACACAGTAATTTTTCTCAGTTTGGAAGAAGCCTGCTAAGTGTACTTACAGGCAGAATCACTAAAGCAAAGAGTATTTTAGCTACATCATTCTCTAACTTAATATATCTTTTCATTCCCTCATGTATTGTCTTCATTTGCACTGCCATCATTTATCAACAGTAACGGTCTCTGCTTTCTTTTTCTTTGTCTGTTTCTGTGCTTTTTTTACATACTGCTCAATACAGGGAACGCCCTTTGTAGAAGGAACTCCCTTCCTGATCCCATAGGACGTGCCTGCTCCACAAAAACCATTTTTCTTTTAAAAGAGTCTTAAGAGTAAAGCAAGTATGGAAACGTGGATGTGTACATTCATGCATAAAGGCTTCCTGTGTAATATGGAATCCATGCATATTTCCCTTGTGCCTTCTTGCCTTTCTCCTCTTCTGTAAATCAAGATGAAAACTACAGGTGGAAGCAGTGGCACAGAGACTTTGAAAAATTAAAATGTTGATTTCTCTTACCATGACATACTATACACATTCTATAGGTGTTCCACAGGTAGCAACAATAAGAAGACTACTGCATTAGATGTCTCTCCACTACAAGGGTTTCAACCCCAGTGGGCATGTTGCTACAGTCCTTGACAATTTTTACAGTAAAAATAAAAACAGAAAGCAGACAATCTGTGTTTCATGACATGTGATGGGAAAGAAATGTTTAATTAATCAACAAGAATGCATTACCAAGACAGCAACATATGTTTTACATTATCTGCAAATGCACTGTAAGGTAAGAAATAATTCATGTTGTGCCTGTTCTTGAGGAGGACAACGTACTCACATCCATAGAAATTCAAGGAGAACAGGGTAGGAGGGCAACCTTGTAAGGAGGAACCTCATAAGAGGCTTAATAATGAAAAAGTCAAGTTAATTGTCTGACAAAAGGAAGAGGCTCAAGACAGAAAAAAGATAAGACCTGTTTTGATCATAACCTGCATTCCTTTTGTTCAAACATGTTCTGGTTTTGACTTTTTAAATCTTTTCAAGTCTTCATTTTGAGGAGTGAAGAATAAATCACTGAGCACTTTCGACAAAACCATCAGCTTAAAATAAGAAGTGTTTGTCTTTTCATAAGAAGCATTTCGTGTTTTGTAAAATACTTTCTGCATGTTGGCCCAGGGAAGCCGGTATTATACAGTCTGTGTCCTGTTCTTGTTTACTACTTCATGAGATATACTGCAGTGGTACTCACGGGCACCAGTGTAAAGCCGTAAAAAGTGTTTCCTGTGGCTAAAAAATAGGAAGGGATTTGAATTCCTGATGATTTTGATCTCCGCTTTTTCAAAGGTCACAGATTCCTCATCTGGAAAGTGGAGATAGTGATATTTAATTCTTTTGTAAATGTCTGCTGCCAGAAATGCTGCACAGGACATTGGTGTTATAGTCTTCATATCTCCTTAGAGTACATTGCAAAAGCATATTACAGAAACAGTCCTGCCTCAGAGTCTAGGTTGTGAAAAAACAGGACTGGGAGATGAGACATGTAAGCTGGCAGCGAAGAGGTGATGAAACAAAAGTGAAGTGAACAGGTTATCTTTCATCAGTAACAGTCTCGGTTCATCACTCACCAGACAACCTTTTGCTCTATATTTGTTTCTGATATGTTATGCTTTTAAATTTGTATTTTCTGGTTCAGTGCTCCGTTACTCCAGCTTTGAGCCAATACCAAAGGAAATCTTGATTAATGTAGTGGTGACTCACTGTTGCAATACGTATCTTAAGTGGGGACAGAAAGAGGTTGTACATTCAACCTTCGCTGTGCGCTCTCTGACAACCAAGAGCTTCCTTGTGCTTTCTTGTTGCAGTCACACATGTTTTACATTTAGTTCCTCCATTTTCAAAAACTGAAGAAAGAGGGGATTTTAACAAATAGTTTTGCTGTCTTAAGTTTAAAACGGGCTTTTAATACTGTCACATTTAACCTATGTAAATGCTAGTTAAATCAAAGAATTCTTTTTCTCCTATACCCAGTAGTTCTCATCTTCTCTGTCTCGCTTTGCTGTATCCTCTTGTGTCATGGCACTCACAAGACTTGGCAATCGAAGAATCGGTGCCTTTCTAGCTTGTGCTCCCCTACCACTATTTGGATCTCCAGTTAAGGTCTTCTTAGCACTTCATTCACCAAAAGGTCAATCCTGGCTTATGTTTTTAGGTGCTGGTGTTTTGCTTTCTTCTCTAATCATAAAAAGGAATGTTACAGCATTCCAGTTGGTTGGAGAGGTTGTACAGCTAGATACGGCTTAAAAGAAACAGCAAGGAATAATCAATTCACTTACATCAAGCACAAAAAGGTAGGAATAAATCGTCTGCTCCACAGATTATGAAATCTTTTTAAGTACTTCAAACAAAGTACAATGAGCATGGGGCAAAGTTGGCAGGCTCCTAGCTGCAGCTGTCAGATCCTGAAAATTAGGGAATCAAATGTTGACACTTAGAAGGCTAGATGGTTCAATTACAAGTGATCCTAGGTAAAGCCGTGATATTTTTAGCTCTTTACACAACACATTGTACTTTCCAGAGTTCAGCATAGGGCCCCAAGAACCTCGACTTTCCCAAGGTATCAGAATAGAATGGTATCATAGCTGGGCTTAGCTACAGTACTTGAAATGAATATGTTTTTGAGAACATGGAGTAGAAAGTGCTATCAGTTTGTTAACAGCTATGTGAGGTTTGCATATTAATTTACATAAGGAGTTTAATTTTTTTTGTACAAATGCTCATCCATGCCTTCCTGCCCCCTTGTAGAACAATATAAAAAATGTTTCAATTTACAAACGAAGAAAACAGTCGGTCTTGGACCATAGATCTTGTCACTTTTCCTCTAAAACTGTTGGGTCCATCTGAATCTACCAGAAACAGTTATGTAGCTCCAAACTAGGTGGATGGATTTTTAAGAGAGTAGCTATAAAGGAGCTCACAACTTGAACATTAAATGGGTTAAGCCAGGACCCAGGATGTATTATCCTATCTGTTTGTTATCTTTCTCTTAACTTTTTGCTAAGGTTCTAGGTACAGTTATATTCCTGTCTGTCAAAGGCTCCTTACACGTGAAAATCAGAGAGTAGCTGGTAGTCAAGTTGTGAGAACAGAAGTGGCAAATCTGTAGGATTCTTACAGAAACCAGAAGCTTTTTGCTGTAAGAAGTTAACCATCGTCAAAGCCAAATGTATGCAGTGATTCAGACAAATCTGAGCTGAACTGAATGCTCTTTCAGCACCCACTGGCATGAATAAATCATCAGTTTTATTGATCTGTGCATTTTCAGTGCTAACTGAAAATGGTTTTTCATTATAAATATTCTGATTGATCCAAATTATTGGTAATGGCTACTTTAATCCTTCTTTCCTGACCAGCAGCAAGCACTCCTAGAAGAGATATCCTACTTAATGCTAATGAAGAATTTTCCTGATTGATCTGTCCAACGAGCAGGCTGTAGGACATGTTCATTTTAATAGACTGAAGTACTACCGCTCGTATCTTTTAGAAGTTTGTCCTATGTATGAGTTATTAACTATATCCAACAGGGGCTGTACTAGCTTAAATTTAGAGCCTCTTAGGAAAAAGTACTGAAAATCTGTCATGATCAGGAACTTTTCCTAACTGAATTTTAATACTTTGGACAGTCTGTATCCTGTTAATTGGTCTAGTTAGAAAATTGAAACATCTGTTCCTCGATTCTTAATAAAAATAGAGATAGTCAGCTAAGATTTTCTGTAATTATTGTGCTTATGCAAATAATTTTATTAACAAAACTTTATTCTATGCATTTCAGAAAGAAATCTTTTTAAATAATTAATACCTTATTTTCTGTAGTACTTCCATATGAAGAATATTTTGATTACTATGACACAATCGAATTGATACAGTAATCCAGAAAATACTGTTTTTAAAGATTTGACTCGAAAGTGAGGGATTAATCTGGGATTTGTTCTTTTCTGAAAACAAGCTTATCCATTTTCTCCTTTAGTGATAATCTCGGAATAAGAACCTTGTGAAAATTTCGCATGGGGCAAATGTTAGTTTTAAGGAGACGAAATGATGGGCTTATAGGGAAAGCATAAAATGAAGCATTAGAGGAGCTGGGCTTTGATCCCAATTCAGCAATGCACTGAAGCATGTGGTCAACGGGCTTATGTTCTTTCCTGGAGGGGGGTAACCTGCAAGACTCCGTATGGTCCTGGAGAAGCCATTTTAATAGCCGTGATTCGATTTTGTCGTATTATAATTGTCGTGATACTTAATTACTTCACAAAAGTGTGGTAAAACTTAATCTGGTGACAGCAATCTCTTTCAGACTGTAAAGGACTGGCATTGCTGGATTCTTTCAATAAAACCGGAACATAATACAGGGAATCTGCCCAGGGATGCGAGATACCTGCGTGCTGCAGGACGTTATATGACAGATCAAAGTCCTGTTTTCATTCACTCTATTTCGTAATCTAGATTCCACGCTTGTTATATTACAGTTGCCCGTAAAAATAGCCAAGTGAAAAAAAATAATCTTCCTTTGCTTTCATTTGGATAGTTTTTCTATCTCAGGGGGCTCTGGCTCAGCTAGCGAGCACGGGTCTCTGGGCTTGTTTACTTTAACTGCGAACTCAGTGCCAGCATTTGGTTCTTGTCCAGTCATTTAATCTTTGAAGCTTAAATAACTATTTGTGTTAAGTTGCTTGAGAAAGAAAAGCTTACTAGTGGATGTAGCCTTGAACGGTACATCACTGTGGGCACCGACAGCTCCATGGGAATTCTGTAGGTTGAGCCTGCTGAGTTTCTACGCAGGGAGCAGTTGACCTGTCTATGGGAAAATGCTGCTGCTCAGAACTGGATTCCTTTTGGTTGGCTAACTTTAAAGTGATATGGCTAGACAGCGTTACTCTTTTGTGAACTATTTAAATTATTTAAAAGACCTTTTACAGCAGTAAAAGACAGGGCTTGATTTTTCATCTCCATATAGATGGGAGCACGAGATGTATAAAGCTTCAGGAGTAATGCTTACACAAATGAAAGCACCGGTATTTTACAAGAAGCTTGTTTAGAATTTTTGGAAACCTATGGAATGATTCTCAGCTTTTAGGCTGAAGAAACCTAATTTTGCCATAAGACCCCTACAAACTGCTGGTTTTAGTGGAGTCAAGTCTAGTAACTACAGCCTTGAATTTGGCCCCGGATCTAAAGAAATTAGTGAGATTTTGGGGAGCTGATCTCTGCTGCGTTTGGAGTAGACGAAGTCTTTTGAAAATTCTGCCAAATATTGGTTGATTTTCTACAGATATTATAATTTTGCGAGCGTTGTTTATATCTTGTTTTACCTCGGTTGCTGCAATGAAAGCTATGTGAAAGGTTAAGTTTGCTTTTAAAAAGCCAGAGGTTGCAAAGATAGACATCCGTCTCCTAAAATGAATAGGTTTTGCTTGTCAATGTGAGCAACTTGTAGTTCGTTTGGATTAAATTTTTATTATTAAGTTCTAACTTAATCAACTAATAATAGAACATTGGTGGAATCGGTTCTTTAATCAACAAGATTCTTTGACTTCCATTGTAAAATACATTATGCTATGAATATTGAATATGCAAATACTCTACCTCCCACTTGAGCTATTTTCAAGACCTTAAAAGTAGCTATAGAAGGGAAGAGAATAATAGTTTGCTTTTCATTCTGGGATAAACTGACAGAAAATCGTTCAGATTTGATAGCTGTATGTGGTCACATATTAAGTAAATTTAATCCTTTACATCATTCTTTACTATATTCCACTGGACAAATGAAATATCTCAGGAGCTACTCGATCAAGACAGACGACTGTGCTTCCCTTAAATTTTCCTCAGTTAGTTGGAGAGATTGCATCTTTGCTTTTATAATCTCTTGAAAATCACAGAAAACCTGGTATTGTCTAAGGAATTAAAAAAAAAAAGTCTATTGTATTAACTAAGAGGATAACTTGAATTTGCTATGAAAAAGAATGAATTCTGGTAATGCTATATTAAGTCTGCCAATAATGCAACAAAGACAGTATGACAGTACCAGAACTGCCTCCGCCGTGCAGCGCGGCAGCTTAGGTGACCTTGTCTCTCCTTGTCCTAGGTAGCATGCACAATGTAAAATGGTATTCCAAAGCCACACATAGCCCAATCTGCATAGAGCACATTGAGTAATTTGTGGGTTTGTTCTTTCACCAAAAACGTTTATAGCTTTTGGCTTTAAAAATAGTTCTGGAGCATAGCAAGAGAGAAGCAGCTTTGGCCTAGATATTGCACAGGATGGCAGATGAACAGGGTTGATTTCATTTTGGGCATTTTGCCCAGGACACTTTTTATAGAACATACAGTTACTCTGGGGGTTCTTAGGCTGTGGTCACATTGTTTTTTTGGATTTATTCTTTAGAAGGAGAGGCATAATTTTGCAAAAAGAAAAATTAATGTAAATTTCAAAGTCTTAAGTTCTTCTGTGTTTGAGTTTGAAGTTTGTGTCAGAGGTAGCGGGACTCCTGTTTTCTCCTTGGGGCTGCCTGTTTTATGCTCGCTCTGCACACGCTGAACCCCTCCTCATCAAGTAACATTCTGAAGCCTGTTTTTACATCATTTACTTTAATAAATTTTATTTGCTTTCCATCTCTGGATCTGAATGTATTTTTGAGCTGTGACTGGTGTTCACCTCGCCGCTCTCACATAAAATACAAGGATAAGAGCTGAGCCTGTTTGACAGATGGAAAACATTAAGGCAAAGAAAAACATTACATGTTTGTTTCAACACCTGATATTTCATATGTTACAAATTGAGCACACACAGATTCAGATGTAAATTAGAGATCTGTAAGGATATGTATTATTTTGCTTTGTCTTTAATAAAAATATAAATTCTCCATTACTTTAGATTTTGAGTGAAATATCTATTGCATTTCTCTCCTTCTGTGCAAGGACTCAGCTTTTATTTTCCTGTTTTTAAAAACTTAGCCAATGATGTCATTTAGGTCTGTAAGAGTCAAGGGAAGAGAACAACAAATTTTAACTATTGAGAAGAAGCATTTTAAAAAACGATAGTCTTCCCATGCCCTCTTCCAATTTTTCTACACTTTCTTAGCATATTTCTGTGTCTGCAGAGCTCTTTGGGGCTACACACTGCTGATCTGGTGCCCTGTTACAAGGGCAAACTACTATTACGTTAACTTTTTTATTATCCATGATTCTCGCAACATTTTGCACAGAGTAATTACTTTTCCAACTGTCAAATGGTGGTGAGCAGAACCAAATGATCTCACACATCACAAATGAGTGAGCTGGGACAGAAAGCAATAGAGCTGGTTTTCTTGATCTCGCCCAGTGAACAAATGCAGAGCTGAAAGTAAATCGACCCTGGGAATCCTGAATTCCAGTCCTCTGTTCGAAACACTTAATCTTCAATACACAGTCCGAACAGGATAATTACATTTTATATAGCAACAGTTTCTGATAAGGCTCTTTTTTGCTTTAAGTGAAATGATATTTCTGTTCTCTCTCATTCCAGTTTAAACACTACGTTAATAAGCTCCGGAGCAAGAACACATTTTATAAAAAGAAGCGACTGGAAATAGCAGAAATTACAGCTGAGTATGGTATCCTCCAGAGGACAGAAGAACTTCTAAAACAGCGCCACGAGGCTATTCAGCAGCAGTTGGTAATACAAGCGTTTACTGCTCCCACGGTCCATCACCCTTCCTTCCCTGATAACAGCTATATAAGAAGATGGATGTTGTTTTGTTAGATTCTAATGTATGTTATCCTCAGCTCTCCTGCTGTTATTAGTAAAAGAGTCATTAGGGTATAAAATTTATTTCTGTCTGTGACTATGCTAAGCTGCTGTACTTTATGTTCGGCAACTGTTTCTTACAGGCAGTCATGACTGTTCTGCAATTTCTTTTTAGGCTGAGGGGCTTGACCCTGCTTTTTAATGTCAATGGTAAATCTTCACTAACTCCAGTTAGAGCGAGGAGAGGTTCTTAAATTAGGTTCTGGTATCCACATACATAGTAAGGGCTTTGAGAATTATCAACAGCAAGTAGGCTTCAAGTTACTGCTGCAAAATGTATAGGAAAAGTATTTAAAAAAAGAGCAGGCAGGAAGGAAACATTCTAACCCCAGAATATTTAGACGAAAATGTGTTTCACAGTAAGTGAAAAATTTGAAAGTGGATGAATGCTTTTTCTAAGCCAGAACAGCAGGAGAAGGATTTCTGCTATGCATAACTAAGCATTCAAGGAATATGCACGCATCCCAAATGCAAAGAGATTCCCTTTTTAGTTCACAAAAAAATACTGCTGTATTTTCTTCCAATACCAGTATTCTTGTTATCAAAATATTTTGGGTTTATTTACTTTATATCTGGGTTTTTTTATGTGCACATATTTTGCATTTTTAAACATGAAAGTATTTGCCTTATTAAAAGAAAACTGGAAGTGTGAAAATACATGGGATAGACTTTGGAAAGAGATTCATGTAGCTGCAGTGGATGATGTCATGCTGTTTCAAGAGGGTGTTCATTGTTTAATAAAAAATAAACCCAGAACTGCTACCTGGGTAGAAATAAGCACCTGAGCAGTAGGATCAGAGCTTTTTCTCATGTTTGCTGCTCAGCTGGAAGGAAGGTGTGTGGATGTGTCTTCTCGCAGCAGGATAACTGACAGACACTACTTATCTCATGGGAAAACAGCCGAGACAAAGCACTAGAAGTTTTTCTGTGAAGTGGCTACAAGTGGTCAACAGTATATGCTCATTCAAGTCTGACCTTTTCTAAACTACCTTGTAGTAAAATTACAGAGCTTTGACTTCATCAAGTTCTTACCGCCAGATGACTAGGGCGCACTTTTCCCTCACAGAATCGAATATACTTTTTCTAGCCCTGGGCGTAACGCTCTGTCAAACTGCACACTGCTATTAAAGTCTACAGAATGCTCCCATCATGGTAGTAGTTGCTGTCAGCAGAGACAAATCTTTTCTTAAATATATGGTTGTAAAAGGTTTTTGAGGATAATGGACTTGGAGTTCATGCATATATGGCGCTTTTAAGAATGAATGTTTTGCTTTTTAGCCAGTTGTGGATGCTTTAATCAACTCTGAGCTTTCCGATTACAGAAATTACCCTCCTTACATACTTCATGAGCAAGCATTGCTAAAGACCGTGACATCAACATATAATTAAATGTATAGTTTATGTAAGGTAATGTTAGAATTTGGTAAGATGGTATTAGTATTACTATAATGAATGCAATACGTACTTAGTTTTCCTTGACAGTTGTTTAAAAAATTACTAGCTACATCTTCAGATTAAGCACCTGGATTTTACATATCGAGCTTCTTCAGAGCCTGACCTAAAGCCCACTTTACTTGTGGAAACTTTCTGTTGATTTTATTGGGCAGCAGATGAACAAATAGTGTATTTACAGAAAGTTGTTATTATCCTACTGTACAGGCACTAGATAAAAAAGCTCGTTGTTCTGGCAACTAGATTATTAATCACCTTTAAAGTAAATTGATTACAGTACTTACCTTTTCTGCTTTCTTGCAATATTTTTGCTCAATGAAGGGCTTCGCTTTGTTACTTGATTAATGGACTCATATTTGGTGTTTATTTTTTGTATCTGCAGCAAGCTATTGAAGACAAGAAAGGTATTTCTGGATACAGTTACACCCAGGAGGAGCTGGAAAGAGTATCTGCAGTAAAGAGTGAAATGGATGAAATGAAAGGCCGAACACTAGATAACATGTCTGAAATGGTGATTTTTGTCTTAAGCTATTGTATTTCCTCAATTTGACTATCTGGTTCCTTAGCCTATAAAACAAAGTTTAATAATTTTGTTTGGGTTTTTAATTTTCTTTTAATCTATCTTTATATATATATATTTTTTTAAAAAATTTTCAAACAGTATATATCTGCAAAGGTAATCTTGAAAAAGTTTACTAAAATGTGCATTTCTTTTAATGTACGAAGAAGAAATTTAGAATTATAAACAAAAAATCCTACAAATAAGTCCTACTTTCCTCTCCTTCAGAAACATCAGGGATATCAAGTCTTGTCATCATCAAGTTTTTACTTTTTTGTCATTTCAGAAGCAGTTTCATATTTGTTCTTGCACATTATTTGAAAGAGGCAAATGGTTTGAATCTTTAACAGAATCTTTTCTAAAATGTTTGTAAATTACTGGAGTTAAGCATTTGTTAAAAAAAGTACTTAATATGCCTAAAGACAGAGTCTTTTTCTTTGTAGCCTAATTTTCAATTGCCCTTAGATCTCTTGTGTTTTGATTTAACTTTACACATAGCCAAAGAAGCAAGACAGAACTTGAATTTCTAATTTGAGAATACTATAAAAGAGCAAAAAGCAAAACAGCTTTTTTTGAAATCATTAGGGCACTTTTAAAAGAAAGTGATATAATTAAGACAGAATGACTCTCAAATAGAAAGCTGGATCGAATTTGAATTTTCAGTATAAATATTTTAAAGTGACTCTGTTTTAGCATTTTCAAACTTCATTTAACCTATGCAGGTTTGTTGTTTGTTTTTTGTTTTCTTAAGGATTTCTTTCTTTCTCTCCGTCCACCTCTATGCAACTCCTTCATTTTCCCCTACTCCGTAAGCTCTATATGTGCCTGGCATACAGGCTGTCTTCTGGACTGACTTCTTTATGAAGTTCTCACTTGAAAAAACAGGAGCAGAATTTGTCTCAGTTGTGGTAGTGACCCCACTGCTAGTTGGGCTCTTTCC